ACCCTCACGCGCTCTCACGCACCTCCACGCGTGCATCAGCAACGTTGTCTACGCGCACGCCCTCCGCGCCACACACGCGCGCCGCGCGCTGAGCCGCGCGCTGAGCAGCGTCAAGCCACTCACTCAGCCGTAAGCCGAGCCGCATGCGTTGAGCCACGCCGTTTTTCCTCTGTCGGCTTGGCTGCTGAAGTTAAGGGTCTGTTTGTTTTGTTTTTAAATTCTGAATCGCGTTAAATGGTCATAATTAATTCGTTATAGCTTTGTTTTAAGCGTGGTTAGTACCGTTAGACTCGGAATTATATTTTTTATCTTTTGCAAAATTTTGAAAATTTTATGAAAATAAAAAGTATTTTTCCTGTGATTATAATTCATTATTTATGTTTTAAAATGCTTCTAGTATTGCATAAATTATTTTCTGGGGTTGAATTTATTATTGTAGACTTCTGAAATGTTTTTATTATTTACTGGAATAATTTTTTCAGTTTATCAGATTCTGAAATTTTTTATTTCTAATTTAATGTGTGTTTATTAGTTATTTAGAATTCCAGAAAATTTCAAAAAAATTCCAGAAAATTTTAGAAGTGATACAATTTCTATTATGGCATAATTTGAATATTAAATACAGCATATTATTTTTTTTAGGGTTTGTAATATGTTGTGATTAGAATAGCATGATTAATTATTTTTTATTTTAATTCTATTATTAAATGTAACATAGCATGTTGTAGACGTCCCCGAACGCCCCCGGGAGGGATGAGTCCCCCGTTCTGTTCATTGGGGTCACTACAGTTCAGGACTCAATGTCACGGTCCTGTATCTAATCTCGCAGAGTGCAAATGCAAGACCGATGAAATCATCAAAGAGTCCAAATTCAGCAAATCGTTTTTGAAAACAGATTTTTTTGAAAGAAGTGCCAAACATGGACTGTTTTGCCAGATACAGAGTCGCCACCTAAATGTTTTATTTTGGAGAAATTTAGGAAACCCTGACTCGTTTGCCTAAGGCCACGTGTCCGTCATCACCAAAGTTGCCTCGGCTCGGGAACTTGGGTACGAATGGGGAAGGTCACTTCGTGAGCACCCCCGCTCGCCCGATCAAAGATCGGCCTCTAC